CCTAAACCCTAAACCCTGGGGAACCTAGGTTCAAGATCGAGACCTTGCTGACCTCGGACGTGGAGGTGGCAGCCTGGTCCGGGCATGGCCTTCCCACCGACGAGCTTTGCGTTCAGAACGGCATCCTCGTCACCCGGTCCTCCCGGTGGCCTTTGTGCGTGGACCCGCAGATGCAGATCCTAAGCGGTTTTTGAGCATGATTCTTGATGTCACACTTATGTATTTAGGTATTTCCGAAGCAGCAGAAGTCGTTTTTTAGCCCAGGATCGTCACATGGCTCAAGAAGAAGGAGGAGAAGGTCGGGCTCACGGTGAAGACGTTCAACGATGAGTACGTCAAGTTCTTGGAGCTGGCTATACAGTAGCTAGGCCCAGGCAAGCGATGATGCGTATCGGTTCGGGTTTGGGGCCAAGCTCAGGCTTCAGGGTGGGTATGGGTGTGGCGGTCAGGTGTCTTAGGTAGGCCTTTGATGTTTCTTTCCAGCTCTTTGCCCTTGAAGATAGTGACAGTTCCGAAGATTGTTTTATGTCATGGCCGACCCAGGTACGGTAAGCCCTTCCTCTTCGAAAATCTGGATGAAGAGCTGGATCCCATGGTGGATCCTGTTCTGGAGAAGAAGATCGTCCTTGTGAATGGACAGAAGATGATTACTCTGGGCGACAACCAGTTGGAGTGGAATGACAGCTTCATGCTTTACATGACCACGAAGCTGAGCAATCCGAAGTATACGCCTGAGGTGATGGGCAAAGCCTCGATTGTGAACTGCGTGATCACTCTCGAAGGTGGAAGTTTCGAACAAAAAGCGAGCTTAACACAATATGTGCATCAAAGTGTGAGCTTCTCACTGTAAGCATACCAAGAACGGACCCCTAAACCCTAAACCCGAAACCCTAAACCCTCCTTTTCGGAAATCTACAGGTCTTGCAGCGCAGCTGCTGAATGTGGTGGTGGGCTTCGAGCGACCAGACCTTGAGGAGATGCGCCAGAAGCTGGTTCAACAGATGTCCGACAACCGGCAGGTCATCAAGAGCCTTGAGGACACCTCCCTAAACCCAACCCGAAGAGCCGAAGCAGCCCCAAACCCTCAGCCTTGAGGACACCCTCCTTCGGGAATTGGCCGCCTCGAAGGGCAGTATCCTCGACAACGACGAGTTGATCCAGACGCTGAACAACGCAAAAGCCAAGTCCATCGAGATCGGCGAGTCACTGGAAACCGCTGCCAAGACTGCGGAGGAGATCGAGAAGACTCGAGGACTCTACGTGAGTGTTGCAAAGCGCGGCTCCATCCTCTACTTTGCCATGTCTGGCATGGTCGCCATCAGCGAGATGTACGAATACTCCTTGAGCAGCTACTTGGGGGTTTTCGACACTGCGCTCCGCGACGCCAAGCCTGACAAGATCGTGGACAACCGTCTCAAGAATCTCCGCGAGAAGATGACGCAGACCATGTACGACTACACCTGCATGGGCATCTTCGAAAAGCATAAGTTGCTCTTCAGCTTCCAGATGACGTCCATGATCTTGGACGGTGACAATGACCTTGACAAGAGGGAGTTCGACTTCTACATGAAAGGCAACCCTTCTCTCGAGAAGCCCAAAGAGCCGAGCCCATACCCTTGGCTCTCAGAGTCGGGTTGGAAGGACCTGCAACTCCTGAAGACCTTCGATGACAGCATCAAGGACATCTGTGAAGACGTGAAGAAGTATGGCGATGATTGGTACAACTGGTACGAGTCCGAGACCCCAGAGTCGATAGACATGCCTTGTGGCTATAAGGAGAAGGTCGACCTCTTTAAGCAAGTGCTCATCATCCGCAGCATCCGGCCGGATCGGATGATCACAGCCACCAAGGGCTTCATCGCCTACAAGCTGAGCGACTACTATGTGCAGCCGCCCTCTTTGGTCTACGACAAAATCTTCGAGAAATCCAACGAGTTCATGCCGATAGTGTTTATTCTTTCCCCTGGGGCCGACCCGCAAAGCGACGTGGCCAAGCTGGGCGATCAGCTCGGCTTCTCGGGAAGCAAGTTCAAGTTCGTGTCTTTGGGTCAGGGTATGGGAGGAGTGGCCCAGCAGACCATCGAAACTGGCTACCAGCGAGGTCATTGGGTCATGTTACAAAATTGTCACCTCTTAGCTTCCTGGCTTCGTACCTTGGAGAAGATCCTTGAGCAGATGCACAAGCCACACAAGGATTTCCGGCTTTGGCTAACCACCATGCCGACCAGTGCATTCCCCATGGGCATCCTGCAGAGATCGCTGAAGGTGGTGACCGAGCCGCCTGAGGGGCTGAAGTTGAACATCAAACAGTCCCTTAGTGGCTGAGTAGGTAACCTTTAACCTTTTGGGGCTCTTATAAGCCTACTATAATTCAAAAGGTTAACCTTTTTTGGGAAACCCTAAACCCTAAACCCTAAACCCTAAACCTTTTTTGGGCTAGGGTACTCAGCCCCTAAGGTCCTATGCCAAGATCTCGGATGGGGATCTTGATGCTTGCTCTCACGAGCGCTTCCGCCCGCTGATGTATGTGCTTGCCTTTTTCCACGCCGTGGTGCAGGACCGGCGAAAGTTCGGCCGAATTGGCTGGAATGTTGCATACGACTTCAACGAGTCTGATTTCAAGGTTTCGGCAAAACTGCTGAACCTCTACTTGCAAAAGAGCTTTGACAAGGGAGAAGTCCTGCCTTGGGAAACCTTGCGATACCTCATTGGCGAAGCCATGTACGGGGGTCGCGTGACAGACAACTACGACAGGCGTGTCCTCACAACCTACCTGGAGGAGTACATGGGTGACTTCCTCTTCGACGAGAACGTGAAGTTCTTCTTTAGCCGCTCTGGCTTCGATTACGACTGCCCTCTGCAGGGCAACGTGGCCTCCTACCAGCAAGTGATCCTCACGCTCCCGATCAATCAGTCGCCCTCCGTCTTCGGGCTCCACCCGAACGCTGAGATCAACTACTTCATGAACTCAGCCAAGGAGGTTTACTCTGGGCTGATGGCAATGCAGACCGGCGGAGGTGGTGATTCGGGAGGCATGAGCCGGGATGAGATCATTGACAAGACAGCCTCCGATATCCAATCCAACATTCCGAAGGATGAGCTCAAGTTCCTCAAGGATGGAGTTCCGACACCTCTCGAAGTGGTACTCATGCAGGAGATTGAGCGCTACGAAGCCCTGGTGAAGCGCATGGTCGGCAATCTTGCAGACCTGAAGCGCGCGATCAAGGGCGAGATTGGCATGAGTCAGTCCCTGGATGAGCTTGGCACCTCCATGTTCAATGGGCAGGTGCCCGGTGGCTGGATGAAGATCGCGCCGCAGACGGAGAAGCCTCTGGGCAGCTGGATGGAGCATTACGTCCGTCGCAACACGCAGTACTCTGACTGGTGCAGTAAGGGTGACCCAGCGGTCTTCTGGCTCAGCGGTTTCCACATCCCCGAGAGTCTGCTCAGTGCGCTCGTTCAGGCTTCTTGCCGTCGCCGCGGGTGGGCACTTGACAAATCGACGCTGTACACGAAGGTCACGAAATACAGCGATCGAAGTCAGGTGGGAGTTTCAGACAAGAAGGGGAGATGTTTGTTCAGCCTAGATCACAGGAGTCCTTGTTACAATCAGGACCCCCTACCTAAACCCTAAACCATAAAGACCCGCTAGCAAGTAGGTGCCCTTGATTTGTTTTGACAAACTTCCGAGGTGCCTGAGAGGCTGATGGATGGAACCTACGTCGAGGGACTGCACCTAGATTTTTTAGTACCCCTTTTGCTGTTTGTATCTCGGGTTTAGGGTTTCTACTCAGGGGTTGAAGAATATACCTAAAGACTATAAACCTTAAACCCTGGCTATTTCACTCTCGTAACAGCAGAGACAAGGGGAGGCCTCAAAAAGAAAGGCCTTGCTGTTTCATGAGGGAATGCTGAACCTAGGTACCTTGAGGGTGCCAGATGGGACCTGGATGCAGGCTGCCTGGCGCGACAGCTGCCACTCAGCTCTCCAACGCCAAACCTTTGGTTTTGTTTTGTCTTCAAGTTAGCACAAGTCTGAAAGTGTAGACATGTATGTCCTTGGGTATAGCAGAAAGCCACCACCCCATACTTCTAACATCAATCCGAACCTTTAAGCTGCGAGTAAGGCCAAAGCAGCTCATTCAGCTCATGCCTATCATCGAGGTAATTCCGGTGGAGGCAAACCGGCTGAAGCTCCGAGATGAGCTTCCGACACCGGTCCCTCAGTTCTCAAAGAGGGTTGTAGGCTCAGATTTTTAGGCCAACCTGAGACTTTTGTGGTTGGGTTGTGATCAATGATTGAAGTTTAACCTTTGTCTTCCTTCGGCTTTGAAAAAACAGAAACGCACGCCGTGGGTTTGTTTCCACGCGCAAGGATTTTCGATGTTTTTGGATTGTTGGAAGTGAGGTCTACATCACTCAGCTGCGCCGGAATGCCATGGGTGTGGGCTTGGTCTTCGAGGCGAACCTCCACACGAAGGAGCATCCCAGCATCTGGGTCTTACAAGGTGTGGCCATGATGCTCAATGACGATTCCTGAGCGGCATGTAACTCTCTGTCTCCGGCCCAGCTCAGACAGCAGGTTTCTCAGCTCCGTCTTTCATTTTTCAGTCTTGCACCCGACTCGAAAACGCCCTTACTTAAATTCCATCTTTGTGCTGGATGACTGAGCCATTCGGTAGGTAGCTTGATGGCACTTCGAGCCTTTCTGCTTTTGAGCACAGCTCAGAATTCAATCTGAACTCTGCCTCTGTACAGTGTCTTGGCCCTCTGAGCCGTTCTGCTTGCGAACACAGACAAGAATTCAAAATGGGCCGTGCCTCTGGATACTTCGCAAGCTCTGAGTGCCCACAGCCCCTACACTTACCGGCCAAACCCTAAACCCTAAACCCTAAACCCTAAACTTTAAACCGTAAAGCCCCCAAAAAAACCCAAAACCCTTCAACCCCTAAACTCTATTAAAACCCACACCCAACAAGATGAAGCAGAGAGATGCTGAGGACAAGACCTACAACCTGCATTATTGTTGGGAGGAGTGCGATCGAGAAGCTTGGCAAGTTCCGCGTTCGGTCTCGGGGCACTCGTTAGGCTTTGAGCACCTGGTTAGTTTTGCAGCATTTTAACGGTTTAGGGTTTAGGGTTTAGGGCTTTCGGTTTGAAGGAGGGTTTTTGATGCTGTATGCCAGCTTAGCATGGCTTTCCGAGCATCTCCGGCTTCGACTCGCTCTGCATTCCTCAGAGAGCCCAATACCTTTTTAATTCAGGAATAAACCTTAGATTATAGGGGCCTTGGTGTTGTAATTTAGGCTAGATTCCTTAAACCCTAAACCCTAAACCCTAAACCCTAAACCCTAAACCCTAAACCCTTAATCAAGGGGTATTGGGCTCTCTGCATTCCTTTCCTAAACCTTGAGGTTCCAAACCCTGAGCTGTAGGGCAGATGTCGTTTGTGGTGATGGCGTGGGCCACCTGGGTTTAGGGTTTAGGGTTTAGGGTTTAGGGTTTAGGGTATAGGGTGCTCTACTGGATGTTGGTTGTGCAAGATTGAGGACGACTGGTCGGTGTCCCAACTGAGAGAATAAATGTCCCAACTTGCAGAGAATAGTGCTTGCCGCTTTTTTTTTTTTGGCTGGTGGAAGCCTGCTGATATGGGAGCTTCATTGATGAGGAGGCCACGGGCCCGGAGCAAGTAGCTTCATGACCTGGTAGTGTCGAGAGTTAACGCGGAAACTTTCTAGGCTGCACCGGCGACAACCCAAGCCCTCCACCCTAAACTTCTCAGCATTCGAGCTGCCCCCCTTTGTGGTCTGATGACAAGGTTGATTTCAGGCCTATTGGGGTACAGGCAGATTCCGCATGAAGGCTGTGCTGAGTTCGCATCGCCAATGAGAAGAATACAGCCGGCAATCAAAGTAAATTTCTGTTTCGAGAAGGAGCAGTTCTCGCGAACGGCGCCAGGACGAGAACAAGAAACAACAATAACAGTCTTCGTAGCAAAAGACCTGCTAGCATCTGCCCGCTCTAGGACGAACGTTCCGACTTTCCGGCAAGGAACAATTGCAAAATCAGCGAACTTGTTTTCTGCTTCTTTTCCCAATGATTCTAGGACAGCCGCTGTCACTTCTGGGACTACGGCCTCGGTACCTGCTCACTGCGAGGAGATGCAGGCACTCTGCGAGGGGCCATAAGTTTTGGAGACAGCATCTCTGACCATGTAGGAGACTTCAGAGATATACGGAGAGGTCTTCGGGCGACGCTTTTGCTGCTCTCGGGATCCGGTTCTGGACGGGTGAGAATTTCCAGAGACGAGAAGCTGGAATCTCTTGGGAGGCTTTGTTTGTTCGTGAGTTTCAAAGTGTAGCAGCTTGCCCTGGTTTTCTAGTCTTCTAGAACCGGAAAGCTTGAAAGCAACCAGAACTTCCCATGTTGTACTGCTGCGACAAAGAAGTTTGAGGGTCTTTGCCTCGATTTCAGGGCTCAACCCTAAACCCTAAACCC